ATCTTTCTTTCTGTATTCATCATTGCCTTCATTCTTGTAAATCTCTGCTATTGCTATAAAATAAATATAAAGAACTGTTGGTAAATGAGTTAGATAAGGATTAAACATCTTCTTTAGAACGGTGGCTCAGTCTTACATTTCGGCTCTTTTTATAGTCAAGACACCTCACCTCTTAAAGTGCCATCATCAAACTCCAGTACACAGTTTTCATCAAGCGGTGGAACATTGCTTTCATTTTCAGCTTTCCCTAAACCACTTGCCATGAATGCATGAAATTTCAGAAGACCTGTCCAGTCTGAAAACGTCGAATTGTCAGTTGCTTTATGATCCCTCAGTAAAGATCAAATATTTTAAAGATCAATGAAAATAAGAAAGGAAATTCATATTTATAGCACGCACAACAAGATCTTGTTTTTCTCTAATGTCAAACCCCGCAATAATTTTTTTTGAGTTCGCGAAATAACTAAAAAGATGAAATATATGGAATTATGTGGAGAAACGTTTTAAGTGTTTTGTCATGTCCCATATGCTTTTACCTGGCTAATTTCAAGGTTTTTGTCAGGTCATATTAAAATTTCATTATTTACTACTGACACACCTTCTCAACCAATGATTGTGTGCCAAAGACAATAACTAGCTGTACAGTATGTAACAAGAAGCAGTTTTGGGGGATAAGAATGCATGATTTTCGCGCATTTTCTAGACACCGTAAACGCTTACGGACGGACTTACGCANTTACACATCACTTTAATTCCTTCAGTGTAGAAGTAAATGGCTTTGCTGAGATCTTTCTTTCTGTATTCATCATTGCCTTCATTCTTGTAAATCTCTGCTATTGCTATAAAATAAATATAAAGAACTGTTGGTAAATGAGTTAGATAAGGATTAAACATCTTCTTTAGAACGGTGGCTCAGTCTTACATTTCGGCTCTTTTTATAGTCAAGACACCTCACCTCTTAAAGTGCCATCATCAAACTCCAGTACACAGTTTTCATCAAGCGGTGGAACATTGCTTTCATTTTCAGCTTTCCCTAAACCACTTGCCATGAATGCTGAAATTTCAGAAGACCTCTCCAGTCTGAAAACGTCGAATTGTCAGTTGCTTTATGATCCCTCAGTAAAGATCAAATATTTTATAGATCAATGAAAATAGGAAACGAAAATCATATTTATAGCACGCACAACAAGATCTTGTTTTTCTCTAATATCAAACCCCGCAATAATTTTTTTGGAGTTCGCGAAATAACTAAAAAGATGAAATATATGGAATTATGTGGAGAAACGTTTTAAGTGTTTTGTCAGGTCCCATATGCATATACCTGGCTAATTTCAAGGTTTTGGTCAGGTCATATTAAAATTTCATTATTTACTACTGACACACCTTCTCAACCAATGATTGTGTGCCAAGGAAAATAAATAGCTGTACAGTATGTAACAAGAAGCAGTTTTGGGGGATAAGAGTGCATGATTTTCGCGCATTTTCTAGACACCGTAAACGCTTACGGACGGACTTACGCAGAAATACGTACCTCTGATAATGAAATAAAATCCTCCTTCACGTTTTCCTTCAATCTGTGTGCTAGTGAATTATGCTTGCTGTGGATGAGCCTCAAATAAATAGCCACTGGAATTTCAATTTTTGTGCTCTGATTCGAAGAAACTGAAGCTTTATGTGTCGCGTGATCGAGTGTCCAATAACAGCACGCTATTTCTAAACATAGGGTTGTTACGAGTTAGGTAAACACGGTCGAAACTGACAAACATTAATTATTTTCTTTGCGTCACTGTCAAAAACTCGCAGAATCAACCTCATTAACTAGATAAAGTACAGCATCATTTCTGAGCCGGTCTGTTCAGTTCTCGTTTGAGCCGGTTTCCTTGTTATAGAAAATGCACCCTCCATAAAATTAGCGCGAACGGCACAACAATTCGTAGTTAGATTAAGTCATTAAATTTCAAGGTCCTGTTAAAAATATATAGTATCTTTATTCAGTGTTACACTAATTGTTAAAATTTAATGCAGAATCTTTTTTGTCCTGGTGTCCGATGGTGTTCTTTAACCGACATGCAGAAAATTCAGAGATTTAAGATCTAGAACGACTACTTTTTTCTAATTTCTTCTCGTATTCAGTGGTTAATATCTCTTTCTGAGGGAGATCGAGCTATTTGGCTCTGTTCTGGTTTTGGTCTACACCTTTTCATGCATAACACGTGTCAATTTACTATAATAAGTTTTGGGAAATAACTCAAGTTAAAAATGAAACTTTGCACAATATTTGTGCTGAGTCGCTGATTCAAGCCTCACTGGGGTAACGATTTATTTTGAGAAGACAGCTTTTCTCGGCTATTTCTTGTAATCAAGAGGATCACTTTCATTTGAATACCAGAACGATGTGAAAGTTTGATAAACCTTAATGATTTCTCTACAAAGTCAATTATGTCTCAAATATTTTATTTCAGTATACGACAAGGTGATCTTATCCGAGCGTTCTGAATGGTTCTTTCTCGGTCGGGATTTTGCCATAGACCCGGCGGTCATTATATATCCGTGTAGTTTTTAGCTCTTATTAACCGAGCAGGAGGTCTGCATGGGAGAATCTTGACCGAGGTCGTGAGTACAGACCGAACGCAGTGAGGTCTGTACACACGACCGAGGTCATGATTCTCCCATACAGACCGACTTAGTTCGGTTAATAAGATGTTTATTATATGGCAAAGAAGAAAACTTTAATTAGTTTAATGTAACTGGTTTCCTGACATTTTGCTTGCGAACGGCGATGAGCTTAACTTAAACCTGCCGACATTTGCTCTTCCTCTTCACTGTTTTTTTTTTTTTTTTTTTTTT